AAGGAACCTATGCAGTGTGAATCAGTGCTTCAGAGGAAAGACAAATAAGAGGACCAATAAGAGACAAATAATACAAGGATTAATAAATAGCAGTACATCTTAGCACAGTACAAAGAACATCATGATTTTTCTACTAGAAAACAAATCCACTTACATGGTGTACAAAGGACCCGATTTCAGCTTGACATTTAGTTTCTATGGACAAAAGTCCACTGAAATGTTTTGAATCAGAAAGACCAGCAACGGTATTCAAGATGTATTTCAAAATATTTTAAAATAAATGGATACAAGAAGAAAACATCAGAGGACCCACCGATCACTAGAGAATGCAACAATCTGCCATAAAGTGGAAGCATGAGCCAGTCTTTAAATATTGCAAGCTGATGAGTGAATGCTGAATATGTGTGATGTCTAAAAGTCAAGAAGCTTAAGAAAACATGAACTCCACCCAAAGGTGGGATAGTAAGGAAAATCTAGGCCAGCTCTCCACCTGAGAAGAGAGGTGGAATGATGGTCTTCACTTCTGGTTTCCACAGGTAGACTAAAGGGCAGACCGAGAGGAGACGGTGAACCAGAAGCTAGACTTATCTGTGCACCTGGAGCTTGCACCTGGCCAGGGTTGAGCATGCCCGTAATTCCCTGACCTCCTTTGCCACTGGGTTGTACCCAGTTTGAGACTTCCCTGGGGTATCAACCACTGCTCTTGAGTCAAGAGACCAAACTGTCTGCCCCACCAGTTCAGCACTATATTTGTCACTATTGTCATTTATAGGGTGGCACCAATGCAGCCTTACTTTGAACTGAGGAACAGAATAAGCGGCTCTCATATTGTCATTTGACCTGGCTCCTGACTGCTCTCAGGAGCAGAAGATTGCTTACATTTATTAAATAAATCTAAGAAACTGTAAACCAACGTCATTGGAACAGTTTAAAATAGACTTCTTGCTTACGCCTCAAACTCCCCAGGAACATGAGATTTCACTATATTTTTCACATCTTACCTAAAGACTTTTCAGTTCAGCATATCAAAACATTATACGATGCTAATTATAAGCAACTGAAAAAGCTTGAAATGTGAAAAAATAAAGCTATAATGTTGTTGTATTACTCTTCTTTTAACTAAATTGTTACTATATTAAAATATTACTATATTTCTAAATGCATTTGCTATTTAGTGATTATTGCTCTTGTTTTTGGCCCTGTACAACACTTGGATTCATTAATGTTGTAAAGACAATAATTATTAACCTTTGTTACTGAGCTCTGCTATCACCATGTTATTATCAAAAAGGGCCAGGATACAGGTAAGAAGAATTGCAGGTGAAAATAATGGGACAATCACACAGCAAAAAGCAAAACCCACCTTTAGAGAAAACAGACATTAACAGACTTGGGGATACAGTAGTACCAAGACATTAACACAGAGTCAAAACAGGAGGAGAAGTCAGTGAAACACTGTGGAAAGCTAGAAATCAAATCAATCCAGAAACATAAAACTCAATAGAAGTTCAACAAAAATGTAACTCACATACAGACACACTGAAGTAGCCTACAATCAGTTTTCCTATATGAGAAAGTAATACAAAAATACACATTTACAAATACAATACAAACACAAAATATAAATATTAATGACATGCATAAATGTTAAACTTGTACCAAGTAAGTTGGGGTGATTAATTACCAAACTGAAAGGCTAGCGCTCTCTCACAAGAAAACAAAACAAAATGATTTTCTATTTCTGTGAGGCTGCAGCTATTATTAAATGCTAATAACTTATAAATATACTATGTCTGGTACTCAAGGACTGCTCACACATTAGAAAGGGCATTAGGTGTAATTATCTGCTTGGAGAACAGAGTACACACTGTGTACGCTCTTCCTTTCTTTCTTTTTGTGGCTGCCATATCGCGC